TGCAGTTCCAGCACCCCACGTTTAATTCCACATTAGGAAACTTGCCGCTGTAGCTGCGTTTGCTGAACTCCACCTGACTTGTCTTTGTTATCCTTTCCAATGCCCCCAACTTCTACCGCGACTTTCTCTCTCACTGCCTCACCGTCACTGCTTTGATCCCCGTCATCCTGATGGCACTGGCCTATGACACAAGAGCATCTTAGTTCACATCCGCAGTTCCAGCACCCCACGTTTAACTCCATATTAGGAAACTTGCTGCCGTACCCGCTTTCGCCGAACTCCACCTGACTTATCTTTGTTTCCCTCAACTTCTACCGCGGCTTTCTCTCTCACTGCCTCACCATCACTGTTTTGAGCCCCGTCGTCCTGATGGCACTGACTTATGACACAGGCCCATCTTAGTTCACATCCGCATTTCCAGCACCCCATGTTTAACTCCATATTAGGAAAGTTGCCGCCGTTGCCGCGTTCGCCTAAGTTTAGCTTTCATTAGTTTCCAGAAGCTCTAAGACTTATGAATGGAAGAAACAGCAAATATCAACAAGATATATGATATCGCAGGACAAATAACGATAAGAGTGCGATCACCTCAAAAGGAAAAGTGGTACTGCCACCTGCTCTTTCTCATCATCACAAGCATCCATGTCAGACGCTCACCATCTGTCTTCCACAACCTTTGGTAGTTGGCTCGTCAGTTCATTCGATGCTCAGGGAAAAGCCCTGGGCTCTGAAGTCTCCGCCCTTCCCTCACGAGCTCCTTTACTCCCTCCGGCAAGATCAAATGCCCAATACTTTTCACTTTCCACAATATCATGTGATTCTCACACCGAATCTATCTAGTACCGAATCTATCTGGTAGTGTAAGTTTTGTCTCATACTCAATTAGGAAAGAGGACACTGAAGAAAAAGACAATAGAAAGCCAAAACACAGAAAAAAGACAGATACACCTGTACTCCAAAACGCCCAGCTGGCTAAAAACTTTAAGTGACCTTGTCGACATCTTCCTATCACCGAAAAAAAAAAGAAAAAAAAAGAACCCGGTTATATTCACGCTGCTGCTTCCACCAATCCTACTACATTAGTGGACGAAGCTGAAGTGACTACCGTCTTCCCCCGAACACAACGCACCCTTATTTTGGCTGTATCTGGCCGGAAATATAGCTTNTACCGTCTTCCCCCGAACACAACGCACCCTTATTTTGGCTGTATCTGGCCGGAAATATAGCTTGTATACATTCCTTTTTAGGGTGCGCTATGTTCGGGGGAAGACGGTAGGAATCTTTGTAGCCAGTTGTAAGGGATAATCGGTAGAAAGCTGTGTAACCGGTTGAACGCGCCAAACGCGCGTTCTCGTGCAAACGCGCGCGTTCATACCCCCCGGGGCCGCGTTCAATCGCGTTCAAACGCGCTGCGCGCCACGTGGCATGAAAAAATTGTATGCGACACCGGGGGACGTGCGCGCACATCGCAGGCTATGGGGTGGTGGGCCTCATTCAACGAACCCCAAAAGTGCAAAAAAAAGCCCCCCCGAGGCCCACCGCCCCCTACCGCGTCACCCCTCGCCATATGAAAGTTCCTTTTTTTTTTTTGGGGCCGGTGGGGGAATTCCCCTAACACGGCTCAGACGGCCCATGCATGCTATGTGGACGGTCCTCGCAGCACTAAAGTGCAGACCCTCCCTGAAATCGAGGCACGCAGTCAGTATGGTGGAGAGCACGAGCTGGCCGAATATATCCTCAGGATTCAAGTT